TGGTTTGCCTGATTGCTTATCTCCTCACTAAGCCAAGGACAGCTGCTAAACAGGAATTACTTTTTAATTTCCAAGAGAAAGAAGCACTGAACCAGGTGAGTCAACAGATCACCACTTCACAATCATTTGAAGCATTACAAAAAACGCAGACCCCCACTCCCAGAAACTCCGGGAGTAACCCTGAGTATCTACATTTTTTTTTAAGATTTTATTTATTTATTCATGAGAGACACACAGAGAGAGAGAGAGGCAGAGACACAGGCAGAGAAAGAAGCAAGCTCCATGCATGGAGCCTGACATGGGACTCGATCCCGGGTCTCCAGGATCACACCCTGGGCTGAAGGAGGCACTAAACCTCTGAGCCACCCAGGATGCCCGAGTATCTACATTTTAAAGTCAGTAATGGGGATGCCTGGGTGGCTCAGTGGTTGAGAGTCTGCCTTTGGCTCAGGGCCTGATCCCGGGTTCCCAGGATCAAGTCCAGCATTGGGCTCTTTGCAATGGAGCCTGCTTCTCCTCCCTCTGCCTAGGTCTCTGCCTCTTTCTGTGTCTGTCATGAATAAATAAATAAAATCTTTAAAATAAATAAAGTCAGTAATGACTTTCAAAATCAAACCACCTCATTCTGGAATCCTATAGTGGAGACAGTTGCACAGCCTTGTGAATGTATTTTTTAAAACCACTTTGGGTGACATATGGGTGGTTCAGTGATGGAGCATCTGCCTTTGGCTCAGGTCATGATCCCAGGACCAAGTTCCACATCACAAGGAGCCTGCTTCTTCCTCTGCCTATATCTCTGCCTGTCTCTCTGTGTCTCTCATAAATAAATAAATATATAAAATCTTTTTCAAAAATAAAAAGTAAAAAATAAAAACACTTTGGGGCATCTAGTCCGTGGAGCATGCAACGCTTGATCTCAGGGTTGTGAGTTCAAGCCCCACGTTAGGCATAAAATTTACTTTAAACACACACTTTAGGGCTGTCCGGGTGGCTCAGTGGTTTAGCGCTGTCTTCCGCCGGGGGCGTGATCCTAGAGACCTGGGATCGAGTCCCATGTCAGGCTCCCTGCTTGGAGCCTGCTTCTCCCTCTGCCTGTGTCTCTGCCTCTCTCTCTCACTCTCTCGTGTGTGTCTCTCATGAATAAATAAATTTTAAAAAAATCTTTAAAAATAAAAAAATAAACACACACTTTAAAACTGAACTTTATGGGGGCAGCCCCGGTGGCGCAGCGGTTTGGCGCCGCCTGCAGCCCAGGGTGTGATCCTGGAGACCCTGGATCGAGTCTCACATCGGGCTCCTTGCATGGAGCCTGCTTCTCCCTCTGCCTGTGTGTCTCTGCCTCTCTGCCTCTCTCTCTCTGTGTGTGTGTGTGTGTGTGTGTGTGTGTCTCATGAATAAATAAATAAAATCTTTTTTAAAAAACTGAACTTTATGGTGTGCAAACTATACACCAATAAATAGAAAACAGAACAATCCAGAAGGGTCCTTGATCTCCACATCCAGGGTAGAATGAGGTGCCCATGAAGGAACAAGAGGCCTCTAGCCAGGTCACTCACATATGCTTCAAGGAACAGAGAGCCCTTTGTACCAGGACCCCCTAAGAGCAAGGAACCAGTGCCCCAGCTCCTGCAAGTACACATGATTACCTGGAATCTGCTAACACAGTCAGGCTGCCCCATAACTATTCCTTGAAGAGCCTCAGCTTTCCTACCCTTCAATCCTACCACCGTCTGCAGGTGTGTCCCACATCCTCCCTCTCAATCAAGGGGCCACTTCTAAGTCAAACTCACTTCAAATGAAGAGAACTATATGCAATCCTGGCCACATCCATTTCGAAGGAAACACTGGAACCTCTGATTCCCCTTCCCCATAGCACAGGTGAGCCCCTAAGACAGGAAATGCACTCCAGGGTACAAGACCCAGATGCTAAACACACACACAGGTGCACACAAGTACACAAAGATAGGCAGGAAGCAACAAATGCAAAGACACGGGTCAGAGTCCGGGCCCCCCACACCCTGGTCTGCAGATAAAATACGTTGCGCTACATCACAGGGACTCGGACCCAGACTTGCAGAGCACTGAGGAAAGGAATTCCAGGGTAAACCAGAAGTTCCCCAGATGAAATGGCTTTTCCTCCATTACCCTCCCCAGTCACACAACCAGAGGAAAGTGGGCTGGAACTGAGCATTCAGAGATAGAGGATGGGGTGCTGAGTGGGCATGGAAGACGGAGGTCCCATAGGTCCAAGGGCTGAACCCAGGTACAGGGGGCGTGAGAAAGGGGCCTGAGAGGTCTAGGGGAGACTGGAAACTCTGGGGGCGCAGAAGCCGGGGAAGAACCCTGGCGAACACGACTGCGGCTGGCAAAGGGACGGAAAACCCAAGGGGGGAGAGAACTTGTGCCTTCGCAACAGGGTGAGGACCTAGGGGGCGGGGCGAGGCCAGGATAGGGATGCGAAGGACCCCGCGAGGCCGAGGCCAGGGTCGGAGCAGGAAGGACCAAACCTGGCCAACGCCAGGGTTGGAGTGGACAGGGCCAAGGGGGCTGCGGTGGGGGATCGAGGTCAGGATGGGAAGCATAGAGCCAGGCTGCGGTCGGGACAGGAAGGATGGAGCGGGTTAGCGGGCCGGATGGAAAGGACGCAAAAGGGACCGGGGCGGGATGGGAAGGCCCGAGCGGAGTCAAAGGCGCGGGGCAGGAAGGAGAGCGGAGAGAGGCGCCGGCCGTACCTCTTCGGAGCTGGCCATGGTGAAAGCGGGCGGGGCCGCGGCTGCCAGAGCCGCAGCCCCAGGGCCTCCCCTGGCCCGCCAGGGATGCTCAAAGCCGGCGCGTCGGCGGCTCCACAGAGACCCTGGTAGGGGGCGGGGGCCTACAGCCACTTCCGGCGCCTGCCGCTACGTACTTCCGCCCGCCAACCGGCGTGCCCCGGGGGGGCCGCCATGTTGGGTGCGGCGCTGTTCTCTGGGGCCCTGTTAGGGATGCGGGTTGAGCCCAGGAGGACTACGTCAGCCGCAGCATCCTCTCGGGCCCGGGCTCCCCCTCCTATGCTCTCTGTCTGCTACTTTCCAGCCACAATGTCCCCCTGCCGGCCCGGCATTCTCTTGCCTCCCGGCCTTGGCATTTGCGTCCCCATGCCTGCAAGTGTCCACTCGTGGGACCACCGTGCGGAAAACCACATCTCCTCCTCCCCTAAACTTGATCTTCTCCCCAAAGCTCTTTGCAGTATCTGACGTCCCGTATCTTTTTATTTCTTTATTTCTTTTTTGTTTTTTTTTGGTTTGTTTTGTCCTCTTGCTGCGCTCAGGAGCAGGATTGCAGGGACCTAGGATGAAGCTCCCTGGCATGTCGTGGGCCCTGAGTAAATCCTTGCGGGGTCAATGAAGGTGGGGATGATGTGCCCTCACTCGAAACGCTTTGCATGTAAAAACCACGCACTAGTAAAAATCAGTGGGGAACACTTGGGTCAGAACCGGCGCCAAGTCCTGAGTGACCCTAGGCATGTATATCTTTGCACTGGGGGTGGGGGTGTTTCCCCACAGTTGTGGAGGCCAGAAGTAGGGAATGAAGATGTGACTGGGCCATGTTCCAATGGCTCCAAGGAAGAATCCCTTCTTGCTCTTCCTGGCTCTGGGTGGTGGTCAGCAATCCTTGCAGCTGCATCACTCACAAGTCCTGCTCTCTCCCTAGAGGACCCACCCTCTTCATATGTGTGCACGCAAGCCTGTGTGCACATATCCTTTCTTTAAAAGACACCAGTCTTGGGCAGCCCCGGGGTGTGATCCTGGAGACCCAGGATCGAGTCCCACGTTGGGCTCCCTGCATGGAGCCTGCTTCTCCCTCTGCCTGTGTCTCTGCCCCCCCCCCCGTCTCTCTCGAATAAATAAAATATTATAAATAAACAAACACACAACAGTCTTGGGGTACCTGGGTGGCTCAGTGGTTGAACGTCTGCCTTTGGCTCAGGTTGTGATTCTGGGGTCCTGGGATGGAGTCCTGCATCAGGCTCCCCCCAGGGAGCCTGTGTCTCCTGTGTGTCTCTCATGAATAAAAAGCTTTAAAAAGAAACAAGAAAAGACACAAATCTTGTTGAATTTAATATCCACCTTAATCTAAGATCTTACCTTAACTAGTGACATGCAAAGAGCTTGTTTCCAAATAAGGTCACATTCCAAGGTTCTGGGCAGACCTAAATCTTTGAGGGGCACTTATTCAACCTAGTACATCAGGTTTCATACGCTCTCCCTGGGCCTCATTTTCCTCCCACCTCACTGGGTTGAGCCTGTTAGTAGCAAGAGGCCTTTGATGAGCTCCTGTGGGTGGACCTTCCTGGGGGCAGGCACAGTCCTTGCCTCAAAGAGTTTATGGTTTAGTCAACAGTTAAATACAACTTGAAGCATAATAAGCATGACTGTTAATGGAGGTACCATTGTTTACCATTGAAGCCTTGACAATGGAGCCCAACTATGACGGAGGCAGGCATCTGGAATTTCACAGAGGCCCAGGTTTCTCCTCCAGTCCTCCTAACTCCTGACCCATTCCTTCTTTTCCCCTACAGTCTGTAATCAAGTATGTTTTTCACTATGGCAGAGGTGTTTTATTTTCTCTCCCTTGGGGAAGAGGCTGCTTTTGGGCAAACAGACTCGAGCGATCGATTGTAGAAAGGCCCCACAGCGTCTACTTAGCTGAACACAGGCCCATCAGGTGATGCAGCTCAAAATATCCGTAGGCACTAACTCACCAATGGGCTACTTACAACCCAGCACAGTTACCAATAAAGGGCAAATGCCATATGTTGCCATATATAATTTTATTTATTCATTTATGAGAGACACAGAGATATCAGCAGAGAAAGAAGCAGGCTCCCTGTGCAGAGCCCCATGTGGGACTCGATGCACCCAGACACCCCACCCTCCCTCTTTATTTTTTGAGATTTTATTTATTCATGAGAGACACACAGAGAGAGGGAGAAACAGGCTCCCTGCAGGGAGCCCGACATGGGACTTGATCCTGAGACCCCAAGATCACACCCTGGGCCAAAGGCAGGCGCTAAACCACTGAGCCACCCAGGGATCCCCACCCTCCCTCTTTAAAAACAATCCTTACCCACTACCTCCTTGCTAAGAGCCTCTGTTTTGCTGTCCTGCCCGCTGCTCCCTTGCAGGTGTATTCAGAAAACTTATATAGGCTTTGTCCTGGCCCAGGTGAATTCTTTCACAGCCTGTGCCATCAGGTCCCACCTGATCATCACTTCACATCTGGGAGCTCCCATCTGATTGGGAGAGATGCCCCAATTAGACATCACACCCCACTAGAACAGAGTTTGGGAATGACAGGCCCCCAATAAACCATTGTCAACTAAATGGCTGGTTACATGAGATGATCCATGTTAGTGTCCAACACAGAGGAGCAATTCAGGAAATGTAACTACTGGGAGTCCCACCCTTCCCAGGTGTTCCAGGTTTGAGGAGCATTTAGTTGGAAACCCCTGAGTGTGAGCCCCAGGCAACCAAGGTGGGGAGTCAGTTCCAATACCTCATTGCTCTTACAGGTGTAGCTTCCAGGTTTGGGGAACACTTCCCCACAGCATTTTCAGTGGCTCCTGCTCTGACAGTGATCTCTGTTACCTCTCACCCCCTCCAGGTCATCTAGATATGGGGTCTGGAGGAAAGTGTTTCCCTAATATAAATGACAATGACCACTGTTACCACACCAGTGCTTATCACTCACACTTTCCATGTGGGACCTTATTGGAAATGTCACTGAATCCTGGTGGGTAAACTCTATTATTACCTCATCTTGCAGAAGAGAATACAGGTCCGCGTGAGTAGCAAAATTAGGATTGGAGCCAACATTGTCTCTACTCCAGAACCAGAGGCTTGGGACAAACAGAGCCTCCAGTTCCACCTCCGTAGGTATATTGCAGGGAGCAGAACCTCTGAGAACCAGAAGGCTGCAGCGAGGGGTAAATGGAGCCCGCTGAAGGTGGTCAAGGCAGGGAGAGGCCCTTGGATGAAGCCCATCAGGCATGGGAAAGCCTCCTCACCTGCCCCAGGGGGCTTTCCTGTGCCAAAGTCCTCACCTTTGAGAGGTCCCACCAGAAGCCCGTCCTGATGCAGCCGAATAACCTTTTATTTTATTTTAAAATATTTTGTTTATTTGAGAAAAAAGGAGAGAGAGCGAGCTTGAGTGGGGGTGGGGGGAGTAGAGAGAGAAGCAGACTCTCTGCTGAGCACAGAGCCCAATGTGGGGCTCCACCCCAGGACTCCAAGATCATGACCTGAGCCAAAGTCAGATGCTTAACTGACTGAGCCACTCAGAAACCCCCAGAGTGACCTTTTAAAACTGTGCATGTAAAGGGGAAAAGTTACTTTCACAGAGGAAACCAGCACACAGATGTTTATTGCAGCTTTATTCATAATTTCCAAAACTTAGAAGCAACCGAGATAACTTTTGGTAAGTGACAGAGAAATTATAGTCCATTCAGACACTGGAATATTTTTTCTTATATTTTATTTATTTATTTATTTATTTATTTATTTATTTATTTATTTATTTATTTATGAGAGACACACAGAGAGAGAGAGGCAGAGACACAGGAGAAGGAGAAGCAGGCTCCATGCAGGGAGCCCGACATGGGACTCGATCCCAGGTCTTCAGGATCAAGTCCTGGGCTGAAGGCGGCACTAAACCACTGAGCCATCTGGGCTGCCCCTTCTTAGGTTTTTTGTTTGTTTGTTTGTTTGTTTGTTTGTTTGTTTGTTTGTTTAAGATTTTACTCATTTATTCGTGAGAGACACAGAGAGAGAGAGGGGGGAGCAGAGACACAGGCAGAGGGAGAAGCAGGCTCCAAGCAGGGAGCTAGACGTGGAACTCGATCCTGGGACTCCTGGATCATGCCCTGAGCTGAAGGTACATGCTAAACTGTTGAGTTACCCAGGCGTCCCTAGATTTTTTTTTTTAAGTAACCTCTATACCCAACATGGGGCTTGAACCCATGAGTGTGGGGTTCAAGAGTCACACAGTCTACCGACTGAGCCAGCCAGGTGCCCTGAGACAGTGGAAAATTATTCAGCGCTAAAAATAAATGCTCTATCAAGCCATGAAAAGACATGGAGGAACCTTAAGTGCAATTTTACTAAGTGAAAGAAACCACTCTGGAAAGGCTGCATATGGTATGATTTCAACCATATGACATTTTGGAAAAGGCAAAACTTTGGTAACTTGAAAATAATCAGCAATCTCCAGGGGTCAGGGGAACGGAAAGATAATAGCTGGAACACAGAGGATTTTTAGGCAGTGAAACTCAGCTGAGGTCTTGATCTCAAGCTCGGGTCATGAGTTCAAGCCCTGAATTGAGCTCCAGCCTGGAGCCTACTTAATAAAATAAAATAATAAATAATAAAATAATAAAATAAAAAAAAAAAAATAAAATAAAATAAAATAAAATAAAATAAAATAAAATAAAATAAAATAAAAAGATGCCTGGGTGGCTCGGCGGTTTAGCACCTGCCTTCGGCCCAGGGCGTGATCCTGGGGTCTCAGGATCGAGTCCCTTTTCGAGCTCCCTGCATGGAGCCTGCTTCTCTGTCTGCCTGGGTCTCTGCCTGTGTGTGTGTGTGTGTGTGTGTGTGTGTGTGTGTCTCATGAATAAATAAATAATATCTTTAAAAAAATTTTTTTAATAAAATAACCAAAAAACACCAAATCCATACAGTGTAGGCACCAAGAGTGACCCCTAACATAAACTATGGATTCTGGGTGACAATGACGTTTGGTATAGGTTCATCAGTGGTAACAAATGCATCACTCTGGTGGGGGATGTTGATGGTGGGGGCAGCTGTGTCCGTGTGGGAGCAGGGG